TGGGAAAGCTATTGCTGGAAATCCTGCCCTGAGCACAGCCCATTGCTCCCCTGGCACCCAAAACTGTACTGCCACCCTCTTGCCCTGGGATAGGGCTGTAGGATACTTCTGGCTGGAAAAACACCCTCATTTGTGCCTGGGAGGCAGCACGGCAGTAGTGCAGTAGCTGACAGAGTGGATGTGCTTTGCTGGTCCACGTCACACACCTTGCAGGGGCAGAGTCTCAGCCACAGGGACTTTCCCCTGTGTGAGGACCTGATCTGTCATTGAAGGTCAGGGGTGAAATTTGGAGCAGCCTGGGAGTCCGTGGCACTGTGATGCTCAGAGAATTATTTCTGTGCCTCCGAAGGAGCGCACTGCAAAGGAGCCGAGGCTGGCATAGATCTAAGAGGCAGGGTGTGCTGATTAGCATGTAATTCGATTTGTTAGGCACTACAGTAAACAGCATTAAGTGCAAAATGCAGTGATTGCTGCTGATAGCACCCTTCGAGCATCACCTTGGTGCCTGCGGCTGTGGATGGGGGTGTGTCCCTGCTCTCCAGGAGGCACCAGCAGGGCTGGCACAACTCCTTTCTTGGGCAGAGACAAAGAGGAAGAGTAAGACAAACACTGCAATTATAAAAGGGTTCGGGTGGCTCTATCTCCAGAGCACAGCTCACATGTTTCTCCTGCTACCCTTGTCCCTTCTCCATTCCCCACTGGCACAGCTGGGACCAGCCCAGCTGTGGGTTCCTCAGGAGGAGAGGTGGTGTGAGTAGAGGTGATTTTCCTCACCATTATTGCATTTTCCTCCAGTAAATGCCATGTCCTTATGTTTTCCATCATGGCTTTGGTAGAGAAAGTCCCTTATCTTTCTTCTTGTGCCACACTTGGACCGTGGGTTGGAGGGCCTTGGCGTGGCAGCCTGGAGCTGAACAGACTTATCTCCTGGCTCCCCTGCTTAAGAACAGACTTGCTCCTGGTCTCATGCTGTCACACTTGCTGAACTCTTTGTTTGCTGGAACCGAAGGGCTGCCTCCTTCAAACCTCACATTTACAAGCACAAAATTAATGTGCTACATCATTTCAGAATAAGAGCAAGTGAAGTCTTGGTATTGTAGTGCCCCACCGAAGCCATGCAGCAATGAGTCTTGTTTTCTCTTCCCCCTCAAAGCCAGCTCAAGCCCACTGTCATCAGTGGTAGCTGTTTTTAGGACAGGCTCCCCTCACGTCCCTGTGAGGTGCTGAAATCAGCCAGACTATCCCTTGGCAAAGCATGTGCGAGGAAAGGACAGACATCCTGGTTGTGCTCATCCCCACCAGAATAGCAACAAATTACGAGTATGATACCTCTCATTTCCTCTTGTTCCGTGGGGGTGAGCACAGGAGGAGCTGCACAGAGAGGTGGCATTTGTTGAGAGACCTGGCACAATCAGGAGTACGTTGGAAGCTGTCGGGAAGAATTAAATTAAGGGTGAGTGCTCTGGCGCGGGGATGGCAAACAGGCAGCTCTGCAGGGCTGCCCAAACAACCTCCCTGTGCCCCTAATGAAGGCAGACAGTGTGCCCCATTGTCTGTGGGATGTTCTCCTAAGTGATCCCATTGGGAAATTAGGGTTTCTTAACAACGGGCAGGTGTCTGAGTGAACTTCATACATTCTGTGCTCTTGAGAGAAATTCCATAATTTCTATGCTATACACACCATCCAGCATCCTGCAAAGGTGCATAATTTCTCTTCAAAGCACTTGGGTGCCTCTTATTCCTGAAAGAGTTTTATAATTCTTGGAAAGCATTTGTTCACTCACCCAGGATGTTTTTTGCTTCCACACCTGATTAAATGAGTAAATGTCCTTTTGTGTGTGTGTGTCATATCAAAATGACACAAAAATTAATGTTAGCCATAGCAAAAATTGAATCATCTCTCCTTTTTTTGAGACCAGGCACATCAGTGGAGACTGACTTGGGACGCTTAAAGCCCAGAGCTAAAAGTTTCACAGACTTGGCTGCCCTAAAACCCCCATCCTCAAGACAGCTCAGGAAAAACAAGTAGCATCATTTCCATTCTTTGGGAGAAATCAGAGGAAATGAAGTTTCCTTGTGATTGCTCTGTGTGTCACAGTTATTTGGAGGGACTGTGCTAAGGAGAGGTTGGCTTTGCTTTGCAGTGGAAGGGGGAGACCTTGCTGGCTGATGGAGTGAAGCGACAGTGCATTTATTATTGATACCCTTAAGAGCTGGTCGAGGCTCTGCTCCATTCAGGAGCACCAAGCAGCCATTTGCAGAGCTGCTGGGGGAGCAGGTTGGCCTGTGGGGGCTCCTGCTCTGCTCCTGCAGTGATGTGGCTGCCATCAACCAGGGCTCCTGGTCACCTTTCACAGGCCCAGCCCCAGGGTAGTTGTTCTCTGGCCACTGATACCCACAACATTGCTGTGTAACCCATCCCTGGCTGTCCTGCTGGAGCTTCGTGCTCGATTTAAGCTCATCTAAACAGGAGCTGCAGTCAAAAGAGGTGGCAAGTCCCACTGCCCAGGCCTCAGACACCATCCCTGAGCAGAAGTGTGGCCTTGGCACCCAGTTTTAGACTAAAATATTGTCCTGAGAAAGTAAAGGTCCCGCTGGGCCAGATTTCGCCTTTGCTTCTATCTGCAACTGCATTGAAACAGGAGAGGGCCACATGGCAAAGACCAATCTAAAACCAAAAGAGGAATATCTTGTTGAATGAATCTGCTGTTTAGTTTTAAAAGCAATATGCACTATGCCAGCTGATGTGCTTTTAGTTTCCTGATGTTGTTTGGAGCTCTGGAGGGCTTGGAGCATCCAATAGCTGCGTTCGGGTGCCGGTCCAGCAGGAAACCCTGCACGTGCTGGCATTGATCAGGCAAAGAAGTGCACATCTAGAGCTGATGGTTTAAAATGTTACTCTAATAGATTCCAATCTCGTAGATTCCCATCCCAGAGGGTGAATGAAATCAACTCAGTGCCATTGATTTGCAGCCGGCTGTGATTTGTGGAGCCCCGCAGACGAGCGCTGAACACGAGCTGCTACCTACCTGGCTGCTTCTGTTTGAGCCTTGAAAACAGATAATCTTTGAGCAGAGGCCAACCAGGATGGCTTTGGGTTAGGCTGGAAACTTGTCTGTGAGTGTGCCCGACGTGCACCAACAAGACAAATAAAAAGATTATGATGGTGGAAATGGAAAAAGAGCCAAAGAAAGTATGCACAAGGGAGACAGTCACCTGCAAATACACCACAGGGGGGACTTACGAAGCAGCCAGCAATCAATTTTCAAATAATGGACTTGATCTTTAAGTAAACTAATAAAAGGAAATGAGGGTGGAATAAATACCTGATTTATCATCCCATCTGCATTTTCTTCTCTGAGCTTCTCTCTGCCTCCTGAATCATAAAGTCAGGGCATCCCCTTTACAGCTGAGCCTCTCCTGTGGCACGGGAGGTTTTATGGAGCTGCCAGCCTCTTTGCCCTGCTCAAGGGCTCGGCAAGCCCTGCTTGAAATGGCCCGGAGAGCAAGGTGGAGGACTGTTCTGAGGCAGCAGGAGGCAGGCAGGGGACTCTGCCAGAATAGGACAGTATTTCAACAAGAAGAGACAGGACCTCTGGCAGTTTCCCTGGGACCATGAGTTTGTCCTTGCCTTATGCAGCAGATTTCTAGAGTCCTTCAGAAAGTCAGTTCTGAACTGGCTTTAATGTAACCATGAGGCTGCTCTACTTTATTGTAAGGTGGGACCCACCAACCCCAAAGGTTAATGCAGGTTTTGGGTGTACTGCCTGTTTCCTGTGCCAGTAGAATGAGCAAATACCTTCATCCCTTTCAGTTTGCAGTTCATGCCTCCTTCCACTTTGTCTCCAAAGCTTCTCTTGCCCCAGCTAACCTGTTAGCCTGTGATCCCTGTGTGCCCTACAAACCTTCCCTGCTGCCTTCCCCAGGCTCCTCAGGAGGGGCAAAGCAGAAAGGAGGACGGCAAACCAGCCTGCTCTTATCAGAAAATAACAACTAAAGATTGACTAAAACACTTTCTGTAGAGCAAGTGCTGTAACAATGAGCTTCACCAGGCAGCCAGGCCAACCCAGGTCTTTCCAGCGATGCAGAACCTGGGAAGGTCACATTTCCTCCAAGAGCCTCCAGTTCCTTGCTTGTGCAGCATTGGAGGGACTCCTCTCTCCTCTCCACGGCACCTGCATAAAGACCAAAGGAGCTGATCCTTCTTTCTGGATCTTAAAAGAAGCAGGGCCATCACTGTAGTGAATCCCACCCAAGTGGGCATAAACCCAGGTACTCTGGGCATGTGACTCTCACAGCAAGTCCTTTCTCCCCTGATGTTTAGAGTAGCTGATCGATACCTGATACTGTTTTTAAGCAGAACCCTTTCTGAATGCAGGTGAAGTCCCTTGGGTGAGGTTAGAGTTAGATCAGAGCTCTCTGTCTGTTTGCATGGCTGAAGTGGCACAGCAGTAAATCTGCCTTTGGCTGCTGGTGTGTGAGATCTGCGTCTGACCACAGCAGGGCCGGGCCCTCATCTGGGATGGTTTGTCTGGTGGGTAGATTGGAGAGGCAAAGCTGTGTGTGCATTTGCTCTGTGGTGTGTCAGGGCACAGCTCACCACTTGCACCGTGTGCCGTCCTCTGAGCAAAGCCATCCGCTGCTGCTGGCATCGCTCCAGGCTGGGAGCTTCCAGGGGATGCAACTTGCAACGGAGAGGGAAGCAGAAAGTAGGACCTGGGGCTTTCTTTCCTGGGAATAGAGGCATTTTCTTGTTTCGGAAGGTATTTAGAGGTAAGAGGCTGAGTTTACTTCTTAAAATCTCCCAGGGAGGAGGTCAGATAAGCCCTTCCCTCACATAGATCTCAAGGTGTGCAGTGCAGTTCATGCAGGTATTTGGCTAATCCCACCTACTAAAATTCCCTAGGAAGTAAGAGAGAACGCCTGTGGGTTGCAACAAAGCATATAAAGATGTGCTTTTTTTTTTTTTTTAAATTTTCTTTTCTTTCCTGTTTCCTTAGATTTTTTCACCATGTTCGGGAAAAAGAAGAAAAGGCTTGAAATTTCTGGGCCCTCCAACTTCGAGCACCGGGTCCACACCGGCTTTGACCACCGGGAGCAGAAGTTCACGGGACTACCTCAGCAGTGGCACAGCTTGCTGGCGGACACGGCCAACCGGCCGAAGCCTATGGTGGATCCATCATGCATCACTCCCATCCAGCTGGCTCCTATGAAGGTACAGAGTCCCTTCTGCAGCTCCTCAACCTGCCTTTAATTGCTTGTAACCTTAACGAAGCGATGCCGGTGGTGTGTGTTGGCGTTGGCTCCCAGGGTGGCTGTCCCGGGAGGCAGGCACGGCTGGGGAGTGTGCGAGCGCAAAGCCAAACATTTTACAGTAGAGCTGAAGGGAAAAAAAGAATTATATATATATTTATATGAATTGTGTGAATGTCCCAGAAGAGTGTGAGTCATGGGTCTGGCAGAGGCCAAGCCTTCACGCTCCCAGGCTGCAGAAGAAAAAGCCACAAGTCCCTGTGGAGGCCCCAAAACGCTGCTCCTCTGCAGCGTAAAACTCCTTGATAATTAATTTAAGAACAGCGCTTTAGGCAAAGGCAATTCGGAGCAAGGGAGAGAGGGAAAAGTACACCAAAGGAAAAAAATTAAATTGCTTGTTCAGCCAGGCAGGGAGCTCGGGGAGGGATCTCATTGCCACCTGCTGCTGCCTGGAGGGGGTAACGCATGGGGATGGAGCTGAACTCGTTGGGTGGTAAAACGAGGGGAAACAGCCCCAGGCTGTGGTTTGGGAGGTTCAGGCTGGACAGCTGGGAAGAAAACTTGGCTTAGAAGGTAGAGCAGCACTGGACAGGGAGGCAGTGTGGCTCTGAGATCCCCCTCCAGAGGCACAGGATTCTGGTAGATAAATTTGCCCCGATTTAGCGGCGTTTCTGGGATTGCACATCCTGACAGCCAAGTGAATCCCACCTGTGTTGTGGTGGTAGCCTATACCCTGCCAGCCGTGTACATCTACCCCTCGTGCACTGCAGAATAAATTTCCTGCAGCAAGGGAAAACCAGATAATCCTGAGAGTGTAGACCCTGTAGCTATATTTGATAAGTGCTCTTTTCTAAATTTACATTTACTGCCTGCTCCTGAAGGGCACTCGTCACTTGCTGATCAGGACTGCTGGGTGGTACTTGAGGACAAGGGGGATAAAACCAAGGCCTTGATATTTTGCTATGATAAGATATATTGTACTGTGTATTGGAGGCCCAGAATAATGAGGAAAAAACCCTTTTCCTGCTAGGGGAGGGGAACAGCTTTGTTCTCTGGGTGTTTTGATGTGAATGCATGAAGATGTTTTAAAATGGGGAGGGAAGGGGAAAAAAAGTGTTTATTATCTTGTAGAGCTGCCATCTCTTTCCTGCAGTTCTGGAAACACTAAATCCATAAGCTTAAGAAGTTTTAAATGTAATAGCTCTCTCAGTACCATACAGGCCATACCACTCTGGGTCTCAGCCTGAAAATGGATGTGTGCAGTGCTCCCCAAATGGGCAATTGCCACATTTTGAAGTGGAGAAAATCACTGTATTTCCAAGAAATTGGTCAATTCTTGCTTTTCTGTCCGTGTATTGGGGGTCTGTATATGTGCAAATACCAGGAATGCACTTCTAAACTAAAGGGCTGTTTGGCCAGAAGCCAAAATCCAATTCCCAATCTGAGCTCATTCTCCCAGTGTAGCCCTTGGGCAATGGTGGTCCTTGCTTCATCCGTGCATCCCACAGCACCTTCCCAGGATGTGTGTGCCAGGATTCCTGCAGCCCTGGTACCCATGGCAGCAGAGGCCACAGGGATGAGCACAAACAAACCCCTCTGCAGGGAGACCCTCAGGAGGGGTTTTCTGTGTGGGTGGAAGATGGGGATTTGGAAGGAGATGGCCCAAATTGCAGCTGTTTGCGTGACACTGCTCCAAACCTTTAGTTAGATGAGGAAATGGGGTTAAGAATGGAGGATTCAAGAAATGGTGCCTTGACCCTCCAGTTTCTCTTCCTGTCAGAGACTCAGCTGCAGCTTATTGAAGTGGGCCTCCATAATACAGAAAACACAGGTTAGTTTTAATTGCAGCTAAGAGACATAATCTGATAATTTGCTTTTAACCCTGTTGCGAGATACCGTGTTACTGTATATTTTTTAAGAATTAACATCCTTATTTTGTTGTAACATAACTCATGGAGAGAAACTGAGTTGCAGCCACTTTAAAGCAAAGACAATTTAATGTTCCTAAACTAGTTCAGCATAATAATTTAATTTAGATGATTTTTTTTAACGTGTGAACATGCACCAGTACCTTTAGTGTTGAAAGGGCACTGAGGATTTCATAACTTCCCTGAGAGCTGAAAATTTAAAATGCACTTGCAGTTCATGGAGACAGGAACCAAATGTTCTGAGATCTCAGTATTACAACTTTCCCCTTTTCCACCTGGCAGTTCATAGTTCAGTTAATGTACTTGTGAATGCACTGATGTGTAGCAGAAAAAGGTTCATAATTGTTCCCTGAGCCACAGTATTAGGTCATGGTGAGGCATTTGGCCAGAGTTAGTTGGTGCTGAGGTTTCAGGTCGTTACAGCAGCTCTGTAACTCTGCTCTTAACGTGCTCCTGAATTTATTCCCTGTTTATTTCCTTCAGTATTGACTGTGGAGCGAGGCACAAGTGTGTCCTAATAGGTGCTCCTTCACGACCGAACAGCAGCACAGATCACAGAGCCAGCCTTTGAGGTGTCTTAGTTTCGAGACAGAACTGGTGTTTGCTTGCTTTGGGCTTCACCCAGAGCTGAGGCAGGGGAAGGGAAAGCCTTTTTTTGTTGACTTCTGTAGATTGCACAGCTTTTCCCGTGAGTGGTTGCTTGTTTCTCAGCCTGCAGAGCAGAGAGGATCTGATAACGCAGCACGTCCCTTTGGGTAGAGCCAATAAACGGTAAATATTCTCACTGCTCCATCTTTATTCAGAGGCAGCAGCAGCAGCAATGATGAAGAGGCAGCGCCCTGGGCTCCCAAATATCCAGGGGGGATGTCACTGCCCTGCCTCTGTGTTGGCTGGGGTGGAAGGCTCGTAAGTGATTTGGCACGCAGGTGGCGGCGGCTTGTCATGGTAATATCAGCCTTTGAATCCAAACCTGAGCTGACTGCACAGATTCATTCATTTCAAACACGAGGAGAGACAATAATGGGATTCCCCTTCTCAGCGTGGGTGACCCAGATACCAGCAGAGGGTTGTGGATTTCAGGTGCCACCACAAGTCAGTAAAATGCTGCAGAAATTTCATGAAAAATAGAAAGCAGCAGTGATCTTGATAGGTTTGTGGTGTGGAGACAGAGGGGGTGAAAAAAGACTGATTTTTCACTGGAAACGTCTCTGCATGAAAAAATGTGAACTGCCTGTGTCTGCCTGCACTTAAAATAGGCTTCATGAAGTCTGAGATCCTGATGCCAGGCCTCTCAATCCTCTTCCTTCAACACTTTGTAGTAGTTCTGTGTGTACCTGGAGCTCGGGGTTTGCATGTTTGTTCTTAGCACACAGCGTGCTTGGCTTGTCATCACTCTTGTGCCTCACAGGAGCTTCAGTTTGTTGCCACCCTTTGATTTTTGGAAAGCTTCAGAGCCAATAACTAAGCAAATGCATCTCCACTCCACTCAAAATATTAGGAAAACAGACACCAGAACCCTTATTTGGGGGATTTTTGCCAGAAGAGCTTATCATTGCCTTTGTAAAGCCGCTCTGTTAAGATCCTTGTGTGCCTGCTGCTGTCAGTGGGAGCAGGATGGCACTGAAGACTTGTTAAAATCCCTTCTCATGTTTCCCAGCGCAGGGAGCAGCTGAGCGTCCTCTCTTCTCTCAACTTACTGGAGGGAAAAAAAGCCATTTGTTCATGAAAAAAATACCCTGCTGGGGTTACTCTTTAGTTGTCTGTGCTGGTATGTGCGTGAAGCCTCCACCCCTTTGCTTTTGTTGATGCTTTGGGTAGTTTCAACCATCCACACACTCAGCAAGATCAGATGAGAGTCCCCAGGTTGATGGTGAGACAGTGATCAGTTCATCCTTGAGGAAGAAGGGAGGTAGCTGTGAGTGTTTGAGTGGCCAAATACAGACAGGCATCAAAAAGAGCAAATCCTTCCTGCTGGGGCCTCTGCGTGTCCTTCTCCCCTGAGCACATTGCAACAAATCCAGCCGTGCTCATGTGCTGGAATTTTCCTTTTCCGGGATTTTCTTCCCTCAGTGTGACATCGATGCTGTATTGTCAGGAAAACGGCAGAAGCCTCTTCTGTGCCATGTGGGTTGAGCTGCCTTAAAAGTAGAGGAAACATCATCCTTTCCGTCACTTCACCCACACACCCTTGAATGCCCCAGGTCTGAGCTGAGATGCACATTAATTTAAGATACACGTCGAATGAACCTGTGGCAGTTCATTTACCTGGTGTCCTGAGCAGAGAATTTCTGTAGGGGACAGGCCACAGGGCTGCCAGCTTTCCTCCCAGTCTTTCATCCTCATGTTCCAGTGGTCTAATCTATATGTTTTCTCTTACTAGTTTTAGCTCTCCTCCCTTCTGCCTCTCAAACCGTGACCCTGATCCTGGTGAGCCAGCTGTAATTTTTAAAACTTTTCTAAGCTTCTGCTGATGCATTTCAGCCTCTCTGCTGCACAGGGGAAAAAAACAATCAGAAAAATCAAAGCTTCTCTTTACTGTGCATGACGACAGGTGAAAAAGAAGGTATTTCTATTTGCCATCCTATTTGGCCTCTTAAAATGTTTCCAACAGTGACATTCAAGTCTTATTTCAATTGTCATTTTTTTCCTGCATTTACATGCTTTCCTTTGCTTAGATGGAGGACACTGTGCACAGTGATGCTGACTGGTCAAAGACCTCAAAGAGGGGATAAGCCAGGGGCCTTGTCTGAGCTTGAGCAGTCAGAAATATCCAGATTTCATTAGGTAACCCCTCCAGCCCTCTCCTCCCATGTGGAATTGCACAGGGGAAATGCCTGACAGGGAAATGAGGGGTTTAGAAATAAGGAACCATTCAAAGGCTTTGCCCGTTCTTCCTGGGCAGGTGGACAAATCAGTGGTTGTCCTGACCTCTCTTCCTCGTCCACCCAAATGTCTACTTCTCCTTCCCTTTAACTCCTTCCTTTTGGTTATTCCTCCCATTCCTGCCTCTGGAGATGGGACAGTCTGAAGTGCT